CCGAAAGGATTACATTTCAATTACTTTTCTCTCTTTTTAAGTCTTTAAACTTAATCTTACACCTTCAAACTATTTTTTTTTTAAACGTTAACAGAATAACTGCTTTGAGACTAGGATGTGTCTTTGGTTGCTAAGGGGTTGCAGCGTTTAAATACCTTATGCAGCTAATTGACAGATGACTAATATCACAGTTCACCAGCAGCTTGCTTTTGCAGAACTGCGACCAACTAAAAAAAGAAGGAATGCTGTAGAACTGAGAACCATCTCAGTTGTTCTCATAAGTAAATCTTGATTATGTTTTTCATCATAAAGCACCTATAGTGATTTGGGATGAGTCATCCTCTGCTGATTTTGAGTAGAAGGATTGTGACAAAAGTGACTAATAAAGTGGCTCTCCCAGCTTACAAATAGAATTTGATGTCCCATTTTAGATATCCTCTGAGAAATAAATCACTGCCAGAATTGGAATCAAACCTCAAACTTTATTTCTCCACCCAAAAGCCCAGCGATTAATATACGTAACATGCACACACACATAGACGGACGATTAGGACACACCTATTTTTGTTGGTGATGATGAAAGACAGAATATCTGGTCTTTTACATTGTACTTCTCTCTCCATCTCTTGCTCATCCCCACAAACCCAACTGCTACTATTTGCAACTCTAAAGTCAGCCAAAAAAATAAGAAACAACACAAACAGAATGTGAAATGGTCATTATTGTCCTCATTGTAAATAGCTGCTAGTGTCATTGATCAATTTCCTATAGCTTATTCATTGCCTGCCTTTGCTCAATATCACCTCCTAAACTATAGTTAAAATCTTGTAACCGAAAGAACTGCAGTAACTTTTATTTTGTGCATTTGTTGAGTGTCTCCCCTTTTTCTCCCTCCCCTGTCCCACAACCACATAACACTTGACACTTGGCCAGAATATCCATTAACCAAATGTTGGATAAAATATATTTGTTAGACATGGTTTTGCCTCTCTGTGTAAATGGGAGAAATCGGAACAAGTGAAGATTAAATGACAGAGGAAGAGCAGGGTTAGTTAGGGGAACAGAAAGCTGGACTACGGTTGATTTCCTGGCAACACTTTCTTAGCAAAGAGAACAATTTTAATCAGTTACAAAAATATTTGTGATCCATATGTTCCTCTCTGCTCGTTCCCATATGCCCATATTCCCTTTTATCTTGGTGGATGATGACTTTATGATTCAGGAATGCAAGAATAATACCTCGCTGGCTTTAGAGCACAGTGCTATTTCCAAACGTGTCCTGGTAATTACGCACACACTATATATCCAGGCTGTTTCACCCTCTGAGATGGTTACGTGAATATCAGTTTGTTCTTTCTTCATGGAAAGAATTATATCTTGCATCCACCTACTGGGGCTGGAATAAGGCATCTAAGGCTTAGATCTGAAAACCCCACGAGCACTTCACCGGCTGGATTAACCCCATTGTGCAAATAGGAGCATCAGAAAAAGGAGACAGGAAGGCTGCAGTGATCATTGATAACTTCATTCTCTTTGACAAAAGGAAAACAGAAGCCAGAAAGCATTTGGTAAATCCATCCATCACAGGTGCCTCTATTTTAAGACATATTAGATGCGTGGCCGGTCGCTTAAATAGATCCTAATTTTAAGGCATGTTGACTTCTATTTAATGTCAAAGTGTTCATGATGCAAAACTGGTCAAAGTTGAAAAATCAAAATTACTGTCGATGACCAATGCATTTCGTTCCTAACTTATTTCCTTTGCCAATATAGCCTTAAAAAAATAGTTATATAATTTTTAACAACAAAAGAAACACTTTTTACAGCCAAATTATCCATTTTAATAAAGGCGCCAATCAAGCTGGAAAGGGTTGACTGTAGAAACGATTGAATTTTCAGCAGTTGTTTTCCTCTCACAACAAATGGAGTCAGAACCCAATAGGCTGTTCGTCAAGCTGCAGTAAAATCTGATGAGGAGCCAGCTGTGCTCATGGCGGCTTGGGAGGGGGAGCGAGGGGGAGGCAGGGAGGGTTTCTAAACTTCAGAGTAAATAACTGAGATGCACTGAGTGTTTTCAAAGTCGGGTCCGGGGTGGAACACGTGTGCAGGCTGTTGTATTCAGCAGATGTGCGCCAGGGTAGAGTTGCAGCTTGGGTTGGGCAAATGTTATTCGGAATCCGTCTCTGTTTGCATTGAGGCTGTCTTCGCCGCTGCTCCTGGAGGAGTTGCGAGAAAAGGAAAGTGCACGTTATAGCAGGGATTGTTTTCAACAGGTTCAAAAGTTTGCAAGTCTGTTGAATCCCTCTGGCAGGATTGCTTCGCTGTCAAACAGAATACCCAGCTGGTGGTGGCAGTCCTCATGGGGAGGGCGGGGGACGGATGGATGGTGTTCACCCAGCGCCGAGAATATTAGGAATTCTTCCTGAACTGTCAGTGGAGGAAAAAAAGGAGCTTTCTCAACAATACCATTATGAAAGTTTTCTTTTTCCTTTCTTTGTATTTTTTTTCCACTTTTACAGCTAATGCCTCATTAAGTCAAAAATTGTTCAGTGTGCTTTCTTAGGATAGCTTTCCTAAAGAAAAGAATCACCAAAAAAAAAAAACAAAAAAACAGTACTCGGAAGATTATATTGATCTATAATTAAGACAAAGACTGGAGTTAAAAAAAGGAGGCAAGACTTTTTTGCTCATAGGTGATCTGGATTGTCATGGAGGCGAACACACAAGCTTGTTTTTTTTTTTTTAATATAAAGTGCGAGATTTCACTAAAAAAGGTTAAAATTGAAGTGAGTAATCTTGGGCGCATAATGCACTTGTTAATTTTAGCTCGTTGCGTGGGTGCCGTTCTGACTTGAACAGCCGGCTGGAGCCTTCATTAAGGAAGGAGCAGGCAGCTTGGGACAGGTGGAGTGGATCAAGCCGTGAACGTGGTTTGCTGGAGGCCGGTCATCAGTGTTAGGAACCCCGTCTTGTTTGTTTAGTCCTTTGCCCCTACCATGATTATTGCCATTATCGTTACTGTTGACTTTTCGTCTTTTTTCAGGTGGACGATGTGTCAGACCGTGTAAGGGAATCACATGGAGATGGGCGTTTTGAACTGTTAGTGGGGACATGGGACTCCCGTTGTCTCTGATCCCACGTGTGGATTTTCCCAGCGAAGAAGGACAGAAGCTGCTCGTAAGTCACCAAGGCCGGCAGCCGGACTCCTGCACGAAAGGTAAAGAGCTGTCATCGGATGGCTGTCCCTTCATCTGTGTGTTTTCTTCGGTCTGTAAATGTGCATGTTTGCATGGAACAGTTCCTGAAAGGCCACCCAAACAGACAGCATCTGTATAAGGGATTCAGCTGGCTCGGAGTTTGTAAAATTAGAGCTCAATTTGTGCATTTCGTTTTTTTTTTTTTTTTTTAAATCTGGTCACGATCTGTGTTTGATTGAAACGCTCCAGGAAAAAAAGTTAGGGCAACAGAAGTCCCGTCTCCTCCCCCGACTCAGTATATTGAGAAGCAAACTGTTTGCTTTGGGAAACAGAACTTTTTATTTGGTTAAATGCATCTCTCCCCCGTGTCACTGAAATATGAGAGATCTGTCAGATACACTGAAGGGAATATCCTCAAACCTCCTCAAGAGCCTTGCTCACTGCCCCTTGCAGACTCCAGCCATCATCCCCGATGAAAACTTTTCCTTTTCCATTCCCACAATCCTTTGCCAAGTGAGCCTGTGTGTTTTTTTTAAACAATATCATTAGATACCATCTGTCCTGTCATGGTAGGTCTTAGCATATTTGCAACAGAAATTACTGTGTTATTAGATTTTTCTCATGCTTCCTATGTCCACTTGGAAATAAAGTTACTGAATTAGTATATGGTAATTAAACACTCCCAGAGAGACATATCAAGACACTGATATGTCCATTAATAATTACCACAGTAACAACTGAGAACAGGACAGTCATCACCTGGGAATTTTTGTGAAAGAAGTGACTTTCTAGGCTACAAGGTCTTTCTGTCCTTTTTTAATTTCCTTCTTTCCTTCCTCTTTTTTTTCCTTTCCTTCCTTTTTCTCCTTTTTTCTTAAAAAAAAAAACTGAGGAGGAAGTAAATGCTGAACTGTTTATGAGCCTCATTTGACAGCACATCAGAAGGGGAAGTGTCAGGGGCTTTATGGAGGTAGGGAAAAAAAAAATACTAATAACAGGTTTATACTTTGAAAAGTCATTTCTAGCATCTGTGTAGTCATCTCTTATGAGCCTGGAGCACTGGAGTTCAGTTGTGATAACTTCATTGGAGCTCCCTGCCTGAAACTTGCTTCTGAAAGATCTCCACAGCACCAGTCACTGACAGGCTGTGGGGAGAGCTTCTGCTTTTAATAATGTCTCTGTCAGTTTGAAGTCTGAAGTCCCTGATGGTTTCTTGCCAACTCGGGATCCTATATGTGTTCTGAATTATCACCCCTTACGTTGATTTCTCCTCTGGTAGAGTGTACTGAATTCCTTAGACCCAGGAAGGTATGTCTGTGGTTGAAACTTGCAAATCATTTGTGAGTCATCTTAGATGCTGCAAAACAGGTACCACCTCCCAACTCGGAAGCGGAGGAAGAGCTGGGGAAATACTCTCTTTTTCTTCTGCTTCCACTTTGGAGTGGAGCATAGGGACCGGGAGGTGTGTGGGACTTGGGTGTCTCAGTTTAAGATGTATTGATCCACCCTGACAGCAAGGTGTATTGATAGGAGCATGTGTGTGTGTGTATGTCTAGGGTCGTGGATTGAGTGACCAAATCTGCCTCTTGGTGTTTGTCTGGGGTACTTGATTTGGTCTTCTTTTATTCTCTTTGTGTGCAATTGGCAGGGAGGCTGGAGTTGCTTGTTTGATTTTGAGAACAAAGGGAAGAATCCAGTATCTCAACCATAATGGTCAAGACTTTACCCTGCACTGACTTTACTTTCTGATGTCTTCACCTTATAGGGTGTCAAACCTTGTGATTTGAATTTGCATCTGGGAGAATGTCTGAGCCAGGAGACCTGAGTCAGACCATAGTGGAGGAAGGTGGGCCTGAGCAGGAGACGGCCACTCCAGAGAACGGTGTGATTAAATCTGAGAGTCTGGACGAGGAGGAGAAACTGGAATTACAGGTGAGCCTGGAGAAATCCCATTTGTCATACCGCTGTGTGCACCCCTTTCTTTCATTTTGAAGATACTCTGAAAGTTTGTTTGTTTGTCTTCTTGCCTGTAAAGAGTTTGACTAGTGAAATGAATGTGTGTATGTATGCGTCCAACTCTTTGCGACCCCATTGACCAGGCTCCTCTGTCCATGTGATCCTCCAGGCAAGAATACTGGAGTGGGTTGCCATTTCCTCCTCCAGGGGATCTTCCTGGCCCAGGGATTGAACCCACATCTCCCCCCTGCATTGGCAGGCGGATTCTTTATCACTGGGAGTCCCAAGTAAAATGAATAGAAAATTCATAAAACAAATCTTCTCTTTTCCCATTTATTAGTCCTTTTTTTCTGATTAAACAGTACATTGTGATCAAAATGCCCTTTGAAAGAATACATGTGTGTGTGTGTGTGTGTGTGTGTGTGTGTGTATGGCCAAAGAGCATATTTAATGACTGAGTTTGCCCACAGCTTCTCCGTATTAATTTCTAGACCACCTCAACGAGTTAGTGGAGGGCTTCTCCTGAAGGTAGCTTTATACTAGCTGAGTTTTAAAAATGGATTTGTATTCCATGAAAAGAGGAAGGGCCAGCTCATGACAGACCAAGAAGTATCAAAGACATGAGCCCTGTTGACCTTCTTGCGCAGGCTAAGCATCAATTCTTACTAGCAGAAAAGCTTAGAATTCCCAGCCAGAAAGAGAGAAAGAATGCCCTGGGAGAGGCAGGGGCAGTTTGGAGGTGATTGAGAGTACTCAAAAAGTGATATGGTTAAGTGGTCAGGATTTATGAGAGAAGGAGAGTTGGTAGATGGAAAACAAACTGGACTTGCAAATAACCTGTATCGATTTTCTTTGAACCAAACTACAGAAGTGTTAACTGTTTTTATTTCATAAATGCGCAAAGGCAGATACTGGCATGATGGCCAGATGACCTCAAGGCCAGCCACTGCTCTCCCCAGCAAGCTTCTGCGGGGCTTCCTGGTGGCCCAGACTGTAACGAACCTGCCTGCCAGTGCAGGAGATGGAAGAGACTCAGGTTCAGTCCTTGGTTCGGGAAGATCCCCTGGAGAAGGAAATGGCAACCCACTCCAGTGTCCTTGCCCGGAGCATCGCATGAACAGAGGAGCCTGGCAGGCTGCAGTCCGTGGGGTCACAAAGGGTCGGACACAACGGAGCGACTAAGCACATGAGCTTCTGTAAGGAGGGAAGGAGAAAAGCTAAATGGTCAAAAGTTTTGGGGGAGCAAGGGCAGGAAGAGTCCTCCCCAATGATTATAATACCTGATTGCTATTGTTATTGATTTTTCAACTCTAGTGACACCTCTTTCTCCATCTGTCTCCCCCCACTTCCCTCTCCTGGTTGTTGGTTGACTGTTTGTTTGTTTGTTTGATTTTGTTTTTCACATACAGAGGCGGCTGGCAGCTCAGAACCAAGAGAGAAGAAAATCCAAGGTAGGGTTCTGGAGTTGTGCGTGTTGACTTGCTATCCTGGTTGCATATGTCACACAGGGCTAGGGGATGTGCCAGGGAGGCCCAGGGTTGTATGCAGGTCTCGGCTGCATCCCTGCTGCCTGTGCTTAATGTGGTCGTGTTGACACCGCTCTTTTTTGCTTGCTTTATGTGCTTTTTAATTAGAGCATTTAGGGTTCACATAGCTGCAGTGTATATATATATTTGATCCTGGAAAATTTTGACAGTGCTTTACAAATGAATCGCTGCTCACTTTCTTTTCATTTTAAATCAGATTTGGGGGAAATTGTTTTGTATGTCCGATTCGTTTCTGCCTTGAAGTAAACAGGTTCTGATGTTTAGGATACAGTCTTCAACTTTTAACATATTTTCTCAGTCAGATCACTTTCAAACCCAGTTTTAGTAGGAATTCATCTGTGTTGTCTTTTTCTTCTTGCTTGTACATTCTTTGTACCTTCCCAGTGCGATGGGCAGTTTGCTAAGAGTTTTCTTTAAATTTATTCTTCCACCCTCTCCTCCACCTGCATTGCCGTCAACGCAGATCCGATGCTCTGAGCCAAAGTAGACACGCTGTCCCCGTCCGCACAGGGGTCCAACACTCGGAACCAGTGTAGACTGGAACCAGTGTAGACATCCCTGAGCTACGGATTTGAAGCTGGCTTTTAAAAATTTTGATTTGGGAATGTCCAGAGAAGGTGGAGATGGCTTGACAGCCTTGAGTTTATTTCCTGGTTGTTGTTTTTTTTTTCTTTATTTTCCTTTCCTTCCCATTTCTTTCCCCTCCCCAGTCAGGAGCAGGAAAAGGTAAACTGACTCGCAGCCTTGCTGTCTGTGAAGAGTCCTCGGCCAGACCAGGAGGGGAAAGTCTTCAGGATCAGGTATACACCCTGTCTTTATGGGTCCTGGATGAATGGGATCCACTTTTGTGTGCATGAGCATTCATTTGGCATTAAACAGTGTTTTGGGGGGGAGTACAAACTAGTTGAAGAAGGACAAAGTCCAGCTTCCTGCCCCATTTCTGAGACATCCTAACTTAGTTGAACAGTCTCAAAATATTACATTTGTTTTTTTTCCAGACCCTCTGAACACTGCACATGGAAAGGAATTCAAAAGAATTTAGATTAAAACTTAAAATGTAAGCACGGTCGTGCTGCTATTCCTCAAAGGCTCTCTCTTGATCAGACTGAACCAAATACAGTCCTAAGTACCACGTCTCCTCCCTTAGTGGAGAGTCTTACCTCCCCAAAATCCACTTGCCTATAAAAACACAAATTTTGGCTCTTATGAAACTTCAGAAATAGTGAATAAGGTGCATTGAGCTTTGGAGACATACTTTTAGGGCCTTTGGTGGAGATTTCTCACTACTGGAAAAATGGTCCAGAAATAAATCTGAGATGAATGTGAATTTAAGTTAATATTGTTAACACTTTGCTGCACATCCTTACACCTGATTTTTGCTCCTTACAGCAAGGCTGTTCAGCTCTAAAAATTCAACTTCCAACAAAACTCTTCACATTGTATTTATTTTTGTTTGCCTTTCAGGCATCATATTCGCTTTTAGAAAAATGGTCTTGCTGTTACAAGTTTTTCCTTATTTTATCAGAGGCTGAGAGCAGTCAGGACAAAAGTAAAATGATTTATTTGAACCCAGAGGAGGAAAAATTGATTAAGTTAGCATTATTTTTGTTGGGCTGTGTTTTGCTTTTCTCTTTATAATTCAATTAAAATTCTCAAAATTTTCCTCATGGATACAGAGAGCATTGAAAGCACTTTCTTTAAAAGGACCAAAAATAAATTACTCATAAATTTCATCCTTAGAGTATTTTTTTTTTCCCCTAGCCTCATTTCCTTAACCTGCCACCCATGTCATACGCCAGGGGTGGGCTAGCTTTCAGTAGCCATCACTATGTTTCATACAAGCTTTATTTTCCTTGGGCTCTGAGAAACATGTGGCTTTTGTTCAGCATTTTATTTGTGCTTCTTCTTTGTATGGAGATTCAAAAGGGGGAATAAGGCGAATATCACAGCTTATATCATTCAATGTGGATGGACGGCTTGTGATGTAATGCACACAATACATGTTAATTCTGCAGAATGACAGACTCTGGGAGAAATAATGCCCCAATGGTCCCCTACTCCGAATGCCAGGCAGAAGAACACAGCCTTTTTAGATTTCATCTGATTTTTTTAATCCTATTTGATGAGGTACTGGGAGGAGATTTTTTTTCAAGTGATCATCTGTATCATTGTGCCCACCCTAGACCTAAGTCTAGGTTACTCCTTGCAGTTGGAGCAGAGAAATAAGAGGCAAATGGTACTTGGCTCCTGCTGGCCCCATGCTGAGTAACTGAGACTAGCTTTGTAGGAATTAGACCTTGCAAGCCTTCCTTGCGACTGGCTGAGGCGGTGGGAGCAGGGCCTGCCCCCCCACACACACACATATAAGCAAGTGGCCATGCTGCTCTTTTAGAGAATAAAGAAGCAGACCTTTGAGCTTGTATACAATGCCTTCATTAGGTACCACCGGCACTTAACATGTGGGAACTGAACCCCTGACAACACTGGCTGAAGTGTACGGTATACGAATTGTATGGCTCCCCCAATGTGTGTGTATTCACAGTATTTGGAAAACTGCCTTCATTTTCCTGTGTGGGAAAAACTCTTGCTACCTGTATTACTTGATCTCAGACCCATAGCAGATGGTTCAGTCTGTCCTTAAGTTAAAGGAAGTGTTTCTTTTCTAATGTTATACTCTTTACCTATCAGTGTATTACTGCAACTTGAATCATTATTTTCCTGTTGTTGGAGATAAAGTTATCCTGTACTGATGTATTTAACACTTGTATTTTATTATTGAGCATATCAATAAAAATATTAAAAAAGAACAGATTGTTTTTTACCAACTCTATAGCACTTTCGTGTATTCTTTCAACACCATAACGTGTAGAAAAGGCAGGTGTTTTTCTGAGTATAGTGTTTGTCAACACATGGCAGGACTTTGTACATTTTTTTTTTTTAAATAATGTCCTTTGGCCTCTGCTGTTGCATTCATATTTCCAAGCCTCTTTGATTTTAGATTTAAACTTACTGAGGCTGAATGGATCAATCGGTTTTGAAGAAGTAATGAGACCACTTCCTGACCTGGGACCCTCGCTTTCCTCTCCTGACCCACTGTCGAATCGATTCTTCCCCACTTGGAGCAAAAATGTTCCAGCTTTTTCCTTAGCAAGTGGAAGCAAACTGTAACACCAAAGTCTGCCTGAATCTTTGCAGACTAAGACATTTCTTTCCCAAGTGCTGTGATAAAAGACCTTATCATCAAATTACACTCGGATTCGTATATGGCCATCCCCAGGATAGTTTCTTTATGTCCATCCCCAGGATAAACTTGCAGATATCAGGAAACCTGGCTAAGATAAATATTTACCATGAGAATGTGTTTTATTTCATCCTCTGTATCATGCAGCTTTCCAACCATGGTGACTTTTTATTCCAGCCCAGAATACACAATAGAGCCCCTCCCAAAAAAGAAACTTGACATTGGAGGACTTTGGTTTCCTGCTTGCCAGATCAGCTAGGTTTACCAAGAACCATTAAGAATCCCAGATTGGCCATAATTTGAGGATGTAGAGACATCAGTTTAGTCACATGTAGAAGAGTCTTGGTTTAGTTTTCAGTGGGAAATGCTATTAGTCATTGGGAATATTTTTTCCCCTTCATCATAAATGTTAATGTTGCCAGTGGAAGAAAGTTTTCCCATTAGATGATCTCTTACATAAGAACCAGTGGGCTTAATGTTGGCTCATTTGTCATAGTTTTAATCATAGCATAGTTTTTTCATAAAACTGAAAAACATAATTTGGCTCATTCTTCTTCAAAACAGTGAACATACTATCATCCAAATGGCTGATATATGAGTTCATATGAAATGATCTGTTTCAGTGCAAAATCAATAAATACAAAAGTGGATCCAGTCCAAATACTGTAAATGGTCAACCAAGCATTAGTTCAAGAGACTCTTACATCTTGAAAGGATTCACTGATACTAAGATTAAAATAATATTAATTATTTAGATTTAATTGATGGAAAATATAGTCCTATTTTCTACCTTTTCCAAAAGGCAGTGCTTATTGTAAGTTTTAATGCTTTATTAATAGCTTTCGTAAGCGACATAGCATAACCCATATCTAGGATTCCTTCAATTCTGTATTTTTATTTTTCATAGTGATAGAAATCAGTATTTATGTGGCTCTGAAACAAAAGTTTACTTGTAAATGGGCTATTATAGCCTTTATTTATGTCTGTTTTTTTCTGTAATTATGATTCATGTAATATCTGTCTGTCTGTGCTTGTGCCAGTTTTTTCCGTTCAAGGAATTATATAAAAGAACTTGCAGAAACCTCTTTTTTATGTTAATTTTTAAGACATGATAGTAGCTATGATGCAAACTTATTGATAAAGAAATTTTTCTTAAGTGTTTAAAAATAAACCTATAGAGAAAATAAGAATTGTGATATGTAGGAATTTAGCTTGCTTTCAGTTAATATTCTTCACAAGGCAAAGTTTTAGTACTAGCTACTTCTCATAACCTTCCATTGACCTCCAAAGTTAATTCATCTTAAAGAGCAATTATTTTTCTGACAGGTATAATTTTTTTACCATTTAAGAAAAAAAAAAAATCTGTACCTGGCTTTCATTTTCCTGTTCTTAATAATCTCTATGCAAAATGGAAACCAGACAGAGATTCTTAAATCTGGCCCTAAATTATTATATTTTTTCCCCAACAGGAATCAATTCATTTACAGCTTTCCAGTTTTCCCAGCCTGCAAGAGGAGAATAAATCTAGGAAAGATGACTCTGAAAGAGAAAAAGAAAAGGATAAAAACAAAGATAAAACCTCTGAAAAACCCAAGATCAGAATGTTATCAAAAGGTGAATGTGAAAATGTTTCCTTAACTTACTCAGTTTGGATACATAACTAGTCACAAAGTACATTCTAGACTTTACACACATACCACCTCCCAGCAAAATTCGCATAAAATTGTATTTGTATATGTGTGTGTGTGTGTAAAAGATGATGTGAACTTGATTTTTTTCTGTTCATGGTGTCATTTTTGTGTATCTAAAAAGGTCATTTTTAGGATCACATATTTCTTCGGATATTCATTTGGATGTATTTTTGAGAAGTTTATACAAGGGAGTGAATATAAACCTGTTCTTAATTCAGATTTATTAGTCCAGTTAATTTGAATTGATGAACAGTATGGTACCCAGTTTTATATCTTTTAAGTTTCACGTTTATCTTAAAAGACAGATAGTGGATTCGCAATTCTCAGATGATAAGTGGTAAGTGGTGTCCCCAGAGTGCAGATGTATATATCAGTGTCAATGGAACACATATTAGCATTTTATCTGGCCTAAATGAATTCGGTGTCTGCAACCCATATACTGCCCCACAATGTCTCACGTAAAATATACACACTTCTACTTCAGGAAAAATTTCTTCTCCAAAAGTCATTCCTTATAAAACCCCAAAGTTACAATCCAGACTTTTCGACTTGTTGCCTTACATATAATTTATACAAAAGTAAAACAAACAAACAAAAAAAAGCATAAGTAAAAACAAAATTAAATTGATATGAAGAATTCCATGAATAAACAGATTGGCAATAGACTATTTTTTTTTAATACCTGAGACAGTATAAGGCATTTAATCAGCTGAGAAAGGACAACTACTTCACATATGCTGCATAACCACAGATCTGCTTGTAACGATTGTCTCAGCTGCTGAACATCTAAAACCAAGGTGTATCCGAGAGTAAACAAATACAGCTTCCTAAGATGGCTTTAGAAATTAAACTTTAGACAGCATCAAAAGACTTGAAAGACTTGGAAATATTTAATGCCCTCCTATATTTTGTATCAGTTAATATTTAGACATTTTATAACAGAACATTCAGTTTTTGCCTTCTCCATTTTAAGAGGGTTCCATGGTATCTTAAACTCTTGAGAGTTCTCTCTGTGGGTTGGGAGTACCCATCACTGTCATGGAGAGGTCATGACCTTGCTGATTGACAGCCCAAAATGAACACATGACATCTGACTCCGCCCACCCACCCACCCAGACTGTGCCCACTTCCTCTCCTATGACAGCTAGGTCTTTCCACACTGGAAATCTACTGGGTGTTCTTAATCCCCGAATCTGATTTTCATCCTGATTTAATATTGCCAGGTTGCTAGTTTCATAACATGTATCTCTAACACCAGTAGATTCACCTAAAGTTTACCTGAGCGTAAGGGAAGAAGGAAAGGTTGGGAAAACCCTTTCCAGCCCACCTCCCCACGGCCCTTTCTCCTAACTCCACCCTGCTGTTTGTTTCAGATTGCAGCCAAGAATATACGGATTCTACAGGCATAGACTTACATGAGTTTCTGATTAACACGTTAAAGAATAATTCCAGGTAAATCATTAAGTAAACCTCTTGTTTTTAGAGGAGTCAAGTAGAGTGTTGCAATAAAGTCATTCATGCAAACACTTCTAAGAGGGAAGCTGTAGAAGGCTGAGTCCATCTCTGATGGCTTAAACTGTCTCTTGTGTTTTCTCTTTTCTGCTAATAGTTGCATGTTTACTGTTTTTAGCTAGTCTTAATTCCTGGGTACTTGTCCAGTGAACAAATTATAGTTCAAAGTTCTGCTTTTCTGGTCACAAAAAGATACCTGTTAAGGGGGAAAATATAGAGAATGAGAAGCAATGTCAAGTAAATATGCTTCGGGGCAGCTATTGAACCAACTACTTGGGCTTAGCTTTGTTAAAGTTTCCTATTAATTTAAAATATACAATTTACTTGGTGTGTTTTATGGGCCTAATACCTTGCTTGTCTTACTTAACATTAAAAGCTACAAATGTTTCAGTAGTAGAACATACTTAACAGATGAGAAATCCCCTTAAGGAGAATGGAATTACAGCTATTTTCACATCACATTTCAGAAAAGAGTTACCTGCTGATTTGTACCTACATAGATTTAAACAATCTTTTCCATACATGTAAATGAAACTGTTAAGTCTTTGGGAATGGACAGTCCATAAAGCCTCTTCATTTTAACATTTATTTTGCAGAGACAGGATGATCCTCCTGAAAATGGAGCAGGAAATTATTGATTTCATTGGTGACAACAAGTATGTTGAATCGCAGTGCCGGTTAATGAATCTGATGTGTCTTGGTTTGCTGTATGGGTTTAATCACTCATTCTGGAAAGATTTAGGGGTAGATAAAACATTATTTAATATGTTTGCTGACTCATTAAATAGAGATGCTATTGGAGTTAGGAGCTATGTGTTGATGGGAATTGTTGCTTGGACCATGAGTACTCCTGCTTGTTAAATTCCTGACAAAATGGCTATAAACAGGGGGCCACTGATTAGCATTGAGTAGCAGTAACAAGAAGCGACCCTTTTCGTTTTTATTATAGTTTTTTAATGGGCTCCAGCTGGCTGTAGTCAGTTATGCCTGGAAATAATTGTGCTGCTTTCAGTGTCAGCCGTGTAGTGACATCTCCAGATAGACAGCTGCAGTCCCATATTATGTCATGTCATTTGTTGCTGTGCCTGGCTGTGTGGATAAGGTCTCCTGGACTAAAACAGAATATACTTTCCAACAAACATTAAGTTCTCTGTGGTCTGAGAAATGCACAACTGTAAAACAAAAACACTTATTGTACTTTAATCAATACATCTATAAGTGGAAAATTGGTCTGGAAATGAGAACATCGAGTGATGCCAGGAATGAAATAAGCTTAATAGTTTGGATGAAAAAGAAACGGTTTTGTGTGTATATCTCTCAAATGTACTACGGGCCAGAAACGAAAATGCTGATACTGCTGTTTCTTGTATTCCTTTCCAGTAATCATTATAAAAAGTTTCCTCAGATGTCATCCTATCAGAGGATGCTTGTCCATCGAGTGGCCGCTTACTTTGGGCTGGATCACAATGTGGATCAAACAGGGAAATCGGTCATCATCAACAAGACCAGCAACACAAGAATGTAAGCCCCTTCACTGTATTTATTTAGCATTTTCTTTTTCTCTTGTGGATTTGTTTGTAAGAACACAATATACAGTTCAAAGTACATGGCATTTAAAATGTACAGTGTTATTTTATATCTTGCTCTTATCAACAGTAGTGGCATTTATCTATACAAGATTATCTGTGGACCAGGAAAGTTGATAAAATTTAGGCTGTAAAGTGTATTTATTCCCAGATTGTTACATAGCTCCTGAAACACAATTTTCTTCCTTCCATTAGTAATCCATCTGGTTATATACCAAACATGGAACATGTTATGTCAGCTCCAACTCCGATTAAAAATAGCAGTCATTTAAAAACAACAATAACATATATAGGATAATTATCCTTTTCTTTCTTTTTCTGGTGTCAACACATTGATCTTACTGTGGTGTCTAGAATAACAAAAACTCCAAACCTGGAGACCGAAGTCTGGCCTCTAAGACCCAGTGCTTTTCTTTACTACCTGGGTGATTTGAAATAAGTCATGTAAAATGTGCCCTCTTGGGTTTTTTTCACTTGTAAAATCAGAGTTTTTTGAGCCAGATAAGATCTAAGTCTGGCTCTAAAAGAAGGTTGCTTGTTGTTTTGCTTCTTTCAGCGGTTGTTTGCTTCTGTCTCACTGTGTTTTCATGGTGTCACTGAAAACATAAAATGAGTGGTCATTTGCTTTAAGAAACTTCGAACTGTGTCTGTTGAACCTACATCTCCTTTAAGCACAGACCATTTTTATAGCACAGTACACATTAAACTGAAAAACTGTCCTCATATAAAGCAATTTCTTAAGACATTTGTGTTTGGTAAATTGCGCACATTGCGTGGTTGTTAGGAATGCCATGTTACTGAAGGGAACTTTTGGGTCAGGCACAGCAATGTGGTTCAGACATTAGTTTCTATTCTCTGGAGGCTGGGCCTTGTTGGGGTGGAGATGAGACCCCTTCTCTGTTCAAGGCTCGGTCTGTGTTAGACAGAATGAGCGTGAAGGTCATAGTCGGGAGAACTCAAGCTGGGAGATCTGGGGCTCCTGAGATTGGCTATTTTCTCAGGGACACTGAGCGCTTCTCTTCTCTGGACTTCAGATTATTTATTTATCTGCAGGAGAGAGTTTGGAATGGTTAATGTTTAAAGGCCCTTGAGCTTCAGAAGTCTTGGGTCCTGTGGTTGCATTTTATTGTGAGGGCAAAACACATCTTAAAATTTATCAGCTTTCCACTTTATCTGATTGTTGGCACATGGACCTCCTATTTTGAACAGTAGTAGGACTGAAAGGTCACTGTCCTTTAATCCTTCCCTGTCTATTAAATACTCCTAGTCATTGCTGTTGTTTTTCATTCTTCATTCTGGTTTTTCTTATGATTTTCAGATACTGTAACGCAGGGACACACGGACTGCAAACTAGGCAGGCAGTTCTGTCCTCTTAATTCTTTCTCTATAAGGCCGTAACAGACGTGGAAAAGCCCATAGATCAAGTAGATTGATGTGGTTTCAACTAGTAGAGACAGTGCATTTATGTTTAATTCACCCTGATTTTGCAGTCGCATAGTCATAAATATTAATACACATGTTTGAGACCTGTTTCCTTGTCAAACAGTTCTTGAGAAAATAAAATACTCTTTGTATAAAGGCTCTTGGTAACTCAGCAATGGCTCCAAACTTGCAATTAGTTTGATACAGTAGTCACTAGTTATATATGGCTCTTTACATTTTAAATTAATTAAATTGAAATATAATTTAAGCTTTAAGATTCAGTTCCTCTGTCAGGCTAGCCATATTTCAGGTGTACCTATTGGAGAATATACAGAACGTTCCTTTTATTTCAGAACGTTCTGTAGGTCAAATCTTCTCAGAATCCTTGTGATTCTTCCAAGTTTCCAAATACCACTGGAGAACATAATATGTCCCTTAAAGCTTTTCTTTCTGCTAATGTGCATCATATAATCAGACTTCTTCACTTCCAAAAGAACAGTAGCTTTTTTTTTTCCTTTAATGGCCAATTTCCAATAGATGCCATGTGTTTATGCCTTGAGGAAGAGCAGAAGGAGAACTTGTGCAAGAAGCACCTTCAGGTATTGTTCCTATAACAAAGTGCCTGGGCTGCTAGGCGTTTTGTCTAGTTCCTGCCTTTGATCATCAACATTTAGTCCCCACTCTGTGAGAACTGAATTTAATAATCTTTCATCCACAGCTGTACCAAATCCCACCACTCTATTCCAGACACCTTTCTGGCCATCCTTGATTTGAGTGGCTCTTGCCAAAGATTGAAATGGGGATGGGGGAAGCTAATATCTTTCAGAACAAGAGAAAAAGATGAATATAATGTCCTTTTATAAATAGCATCCAGTCACATTTTCAGAACCTGAGTCACTTTTGAGCAGTTTTAGCAAAGGAGAAATGTAGTTCTGTGGGAAATTATATTTGCCATTGAAAGTCTGTTGCCATGTTTTCATGGAGTTAAAGTTCAAAAGATAACATCTCTTCACGTTCTAGGTGTCTTGCATATTTTTGACTTTGAAAATTTCAAGAGTTGTGCCATCAGGACAACTGGCCTATGATGATTGTGGGGACCATATTGGGTTAGATACATTATTAGATGAAAATGTTTCCATCTCTATAAAGGAAGGAGGCTGAGATGGAAGTTCCTCAGATGATTCCTTGTGGGTTTTCTGTTTTGGCGATATCGTTTCAATGTGTGCACTTTAATGGTACCCCAAAACAAATGCATAGAGATGGATATTTTAAATGTCATTAGAGATTGGGAGAAATGCAGAAAACTGGATGGAAGATACAAAACTGAACTGAAGGGCTGAGGAAGGGAAACCACTTCCTTTTTTTAATTTTTCATTTTCAATGACCATGCTGGCATGTAAGGTGTTCTCTGAAGTGGATGCCTGTCAGCTAGATATTGGCTGGGATTTATTTCCAGAATACCTGTTTTTCTAGATTGTCTGCAGTTTAAGTGCCTATAGAATGTGTCTTGAAAATACTAAGTTTTGCATGGAGAGGAAATAGTTTCACCTGAAGTTCAAAATATTTAAGTCATGACAACAGATTCTGGGGATTGTATATATACATGCATGTGTACTACAGTCACCTCTAGTGTTTTCTCTGATATCTTCAAATATAATACATCCATCCTTTCATGATGGAAAAAATTACCTCAGACTTTTTAGATAGTTAGAATCACTTATAATAGCATTACATACTATTTGTTCGGTTGTACTGGTTACTTTACATCTTATCTAATGTATATTGTTTCATTCATATTAAAAGCATACTTAGAACCTAAGTCATTAGAGCCTCATTTTACAGAAGAAGAACATTAAGTGCACAGGTTTGATTCCTGGTACAGGAAGATTCCGTATCCTGCAGGGCTCCACAGCTACTGAAGCTTGCATGCTAGACGTAGTTTTGGACCTCGAGAGAAGCAATGATCAGCATGGCTGGAATCTCAACCCAGTGTGTCTCATGCCAAGAACAATGTTACTAAGTAATCTAACTCTCTTTAAGGCAAAACAGTCCAGACTATCTTGATCGACATGCTCAAGATCTCCGGGATTGGTTGAGAATTCCCACTCCTAAGTCTTTCGTGGTCTGATAAGAAACAATGATTGAGGGAGAAAGTCTTTTTGAAAGTTAACTCAGTAGTATCAGTAAATAACAGATACTTCCTCCCATATGACAGCATTTGCCAGATTTTCTTTATCACCACTACATGGTGTGACATTTGGGGAAAAAATATGCAGTATTTAGAGGGAGTGCTATCCATTCAGTGGAAACTTCCTATACTCTGTTTTTCAATCGGTGTTTTCAAGAAAGAAAAAACTGTGTTTACAGATAATGTCAGTGCAGGAGGTGAGCCTGTCCTTTGTGTGAACACAAAATTAGTCTTCCAAGCAACTCTGTTGTCCAGATGCATGTTTTCATGTCATAACCACAGGAGCCTGGGGTTAAGGGTGTAGTCATCCAGAGAGAGGAAGAAATAAGAACTGTGTTCATTTGAGATTCATTCCAAAAAGGTGCCTTCTTCCAAGTGAACTGATGCGCTGTGAAGAGTTAGTAAAGAAAAGTCACCTTACCCTGGCACCGCCCTGCCCTGGCTGTTTCTCAGGGCTGGGCAGGTAGAGGACGGTGAGCATGAGTCACCTCCGCCATCCAGCGCAACACTCAGCCCACAACGCAGGTCTTAATGATTGGCGATGCCTCTGTTTAGAATGTCCTGTTATCTTGTTGAAATAATGAATGGAGTTTTTGAACTGAGGCTTGGTCTTTTTTCTGCTTTAGTCAGGCTCTCTTTCCCCAGCGTATGGCCAGAAGTATGTTTTCATCTCTAGCACTTACAGATTTTTTTTTCTGTTGGAAGTCTCTGTTAACTGTCAGATTATTTGGCCACCCCAGATGAGCCCCCTGGAAATCTGGGGCAGAGGTATTAGGGTGTGTGCAACTTGGCACTGCAAGGGATACTTAAAATGTATTTACTTTCTATCATGTTACTTGTTAAAATCTGTTTTTATTTGTGGCTGTGCTGGATCTTTGTTGCTGTGCGCAGGCTTGCTTTATTTGCGGGGATCGGGGGATGTTCTTCATTGTGGGTTTCTCATTGTCCTGGCTTCTCTAGTTGCGGAGCACAGGCTCTAGGCGCGTGGGCTCTAGAAGTTGTAGCTTAGGAGCTCTAGAACTTGGGCTTCAGTACTTGTGGTGCGTGGGCTTAGTTGCCCTGTAGCACATGGAATCCTCCTGGACCAGGGATCGAACTCGTGTCCCATGTCCCTGTCATTCTTAACTACTGGATCACCAGGGGAGTCCCATGTTACTTTTGATGTTCAGGATTGAGGTTAAAAGATGAACAGTGCTTTAAAATATATGTGTGTAAATGCTGCAAATATATGTCTCTATTTTTTATGAGAAACTTTGTTCTTCTCTTCGTGTCTATTTCTAATTTTCACTTTCTCTCTTTTGCTTATTTTTCTACCTGTGTAGTCC